GTTGACGCAGTGGTCATATGCCCATATAAGGACGCATCCAGGTCTAAAAGAAATTTTTGAAAGCAGTTTTTGAAAATTGCCTGTGTCACATCTGATACGTTTTGTCCTATAAACCTTTTTCTCTCTAATATCACTGGGTCCTTTGTTAGAGTCAAAATATGAACATGGCTGCATGTAAGCTAATGCTACTGCGCACTGAACTGATGTCATCAGACTGGCAGCCTCCTTAAAAACCCATGCAAACCAGCACGCTTTGTCAGTACGGTAACTTAGCCCTACAATCTGACCTACACTCAGGCTACACAGCTCAACATGACCAGACTGAAAGGTGTTATCTCTTTTTAATAATCTTCTGGCTGCTATGAAGAAGGCTGACAAACCACAAAGAGATATGACTGCAATTGAGCAGTCCTACCGAGCGTGCATGTGTCATTAGTGCAGTGTAGTAACTCAGTGTTTTATTGTGTGTTTAATGTTAATTCAGTACAGATTCAGCCTAATGTTTCTTCTTGCTCTCTGATGAGACGATTCAGGCTATCAAAATCCTCATTCTTTTAATGCTGGTAACATTTTCTAATAAGGACATTTGCTGGCTTCTTCCTGTTCCACCTTAAACAGTGCAGTAGTTACATTCTGGTGCCTGAGGCTTTATAATAACTGCTGAACTTTCAGGTGGAACAGGAAAAAATCGAACAAGAAGCTACAGAATTAGAAGGTGACTACAGCTTTGTAGTCTTAACGCTTGCTGGATTATTTTTACCTGGAGCCTTTATGTACTGCCTCTATTAGAGTGATAATGTCTGTTTCCGTCCTGATGCTGTTCTTGCTAGCTAGCTTGCTCTCCACTATTTATATCCAACAATCAATGAGCACATGCTGGCTAGCGAGCCATCTGTCCACAGCAGAAAGAAACTTAGTTAAGACTAATACAGTTAAGCTCATGTTTGTGGGTATAAAGTGATTTTTAAGTGACCCTAAAGAAGTGGCTATACAGAATCTGAAACTCGCTCACAAGAAATGACCAAAAAGTTGTTTTCAGTTTAAGACGCTGTAGTTAAATATGCTTTTTCCTCTGCTCTCCTGCTCCACCCATCACTAACACAAACAGTCTCAGCGACCTGGTCAGGATTGCCAGATTGGGCAGAATCCTCCAGGGCAGCATTTTGTGCTACTTGCTATGACAGTAGTTGTTTATTAGAGATGTTTTTCCATTACTTTGTAATATTTACATTTTCCTCAGAGGTTCACTGATAACGTGGGTTTATGTATCAAAAACAGAATTTATTTTTACATGACCGTTTTCCAGCCCGTCATTATGCTTTAGAATCAAGCAGGTTGCAGACTGACATGTAAATGAGCCTTGTTCTTATTGGTTGCTTAATGCCTGGGCTGAGACACTCCTTAAAACTTTGACATGAGCGGAGCTAAACCACTGTAGGCTGATAAAGCAGTTTTGTTTTCATGACTGCACAGAAACACTGATTTTTAAATGGACTGTTTTTTTACAGCTTAATTTCCATACTTGAACTTGAATGGATAGAATTTGTTTTGTCACTATATCAATGTTTACGTGCTACAAAGAATGCGAGGACATTTTTTTCCCCTTAATATGGGCCCTTTTAGGTTAATCATTGAAATGAAGCACCTTTTGAGCTTTCTTTCTTGTAGAATATTCAGTTCGTTGGGATAATATTCATAGAGTATTTGAAAATGAAAATATATGATAGTTGAAGCATTAATGTGATCCAATCCTATAACAAATCTGTCCTGAATTAGTGCTGACTTACACTGTGCTTTGTTATACGTTGACAGTGAAGGTTTCAGCATCGGTGCCCAAAAGGAAAAGCAGTATTGTGCCAATATTTATTAGCATTGATAAAGTAAACCCTTGTGCTTTTGGGTCTTTGGTAGCTTTGGCTAAAAAATGTATAGCTTTGTCGCTATTACAACTCAAAAGGATCCAGTTCTCCAGGAGTTCCGTTCAGAGTGTTTTGTTTATTATCAACAGGATGTCAGACTTTAAGGGAAGTTTTCATTGTGTTAAAAAAGGTTGTGTTGTCCTTTGTCGTCATCAGTGAAGAGTTGTTGCAACAGCAAAACATTAAACTAAAATTAAGAATGAGAAATGTGTTTAAACTGACTTGATATCATTAAATAGACCATATGGATACTGTTTCTCCAGAATATCCTGTCTTCTGCTTGGGTCTTTAGGTCTCCTAATGGCTTCTTCATGATTCCTCTGATTGTATTCATTCATCTGTAGCTGGTCATCGTCTTTTACCTTCAACGGTTCCAAGAATCACCTTTTTCAGTGAACTAGTTCTTCTCATTATACCTCCAAAATAAGAGCTTCAATTTGATCTGGGCTTCGAGTGAAAGATGAGGCTTGATTTGGTCAAGTGTCTATTTGTTTGTTTTCTTTGTCATCAAAGATACTCGCACTCGTACTTCACCAACATCAAAGTTCAAAGCCATAAATATTTTTACATCCATAAACAGCTGCAGAAAAGACAGCAGCCTGGACGATTCAGACGCGTCATTACATTTGAAGAACCTTTCAAGCTCCTTGTGTTGAAATGAGCTCACACCGCAGCTCACTGTTGTTTATGTAAAACCAAGATTGGAGTTTCAGATTGTGGATCGGGGTGCGGACGCACGTATAAAGATGGAAGAAACAATGATAAATTCCACTTGTTGGGTTTTATGGCTGCTATTGATAAGTATTCATAAGTATTCATGAACTGATGAGTGGTCCCAGTTCTGCTCATGCTGTTTGTAAAAGGAAGTGATGAGATGCTTCAGCGAGGCTGTTATTTCTTCCTGAGTCCGTGTGCTGTTACAGGTTTTGATGAGTCAGTTTCCTGGTTGCTGTTGCCGTGGGCAAGTCCGTCATCGGCGTTGTTACTGAGCGAACGCAGTAGGTTAAAGTGCAGGCAGGTGTGTGTGCGCGTATGTGCATGCGTGTGCGTTCGCCTCCTCCCCGTGGGAATGACACGGGGCTGATCAGGTAAATCCCTTCATAATCCCCCGCAGAGCAGAGCTGAGCTGTGTGTGACTGCCACAGGTCTCTCGCTCTCTTTCTCTCGCTCTCTTTCTCTCGCTCTCTCTCTTGCGCTCTCTCTCTCGCGCTCTCTCTCTCGCTCCCTCTCCCTCTCCCTGCTCTCTGGCAGCGGAGATGAGGAACGATATGACAAAGACTTCATCTGGTGATGGAGAGTGATGCTGGGGTTGAGTGGAGTTGAGAAATATTTGTTTCCTGCGCCAGTATTGATATTTTTTATTTTATTCATTTAGATATTTTTTGGTACCTGTCTACTTCACACTGCACGTATAGACAAGTGAGGACATATTTGCTAGTGAAACCAATTTAAATCTAGTCAATATATCTAATATTTCTAATTATGAGATTGTTTGTTTGTCTGTTTGTAAGAGTGTTATACAACTATTCAACCTTTTTATTGTCATCTTGACTGATGAAAGTTTGCTTCTCAAGCAGTATTTCTTCTAGTATTTTCTTCTGAAAATGAGTAAAATGTCTTCAAATAATACTAATAGTTATATAACAGGCTCATAATGAGAAGTATTACATTTATTGACTAGATTTAAGGAGACATACGGGATATATTTCTCATGTACATGTTAACACTGCTGTTGCTGATACATAAACGTCTATAAACTGTAGAAATTTGAAATAAATCTACCTGTATTACAGAGATTAATTTCTGTAGGGTTATCAGTGCAGTAAAATGAATGAAATGCAGCTATTTATGCACAGTTCTATCAGTTTCAGATCAAATTTAACCGCTGGTCCGATGCCAGTATTGTTTATTTGTTGTTGTTACTGCCAATATCTAGATTTAGAATCATTTCCTTATCGATTTGGCATTTCTGAAATATGATTCAGTTCTCTAAACACTTCTTAAACAAACTAGACTGACAGTCTTAAATAACATAAATATTCTTGCACAGGGGAGGTGGAGCTTCCCAGCATTTAGAGCGTCAATATCAGTCATATGAATGACTGACTGTTTTTATGCTCTGTCATATTCAATACATTTCAGCCCATTCATCATAAAAAGTGCAATTGTTTAGAATCAGAATCAAGTTTTATTGGCCAGGTATGCTTACGCATACAAGGAATTTGGTTTTGGTTACAGGAGCTCACAGTGCACAGTATCAGACAGACATTTACATGTAGTGAATAAAATAAAATAAATATAAAATAAAATAGAATAGAAAAAAATAAAATAAAATACAGTACAAAAAAATAAAATAAACATGCATTCCTACCATCGCTCACTCATACACACACACACACAGTCATACCTGTAACCTTTACATTGTGCAAAGTATGGGTCTAAAGGGTGTATAGTGGCAAAGAAAGGGATCAATGAGGTAACAGTCAGGTAAGTGGGGTAATATGGCAGGTAAGCAAGATGCTAGAATAGACACTGGTCTGAGATGGTAGTTTCAGAGGATGGAGTTGAGTTTGATACTATATACCAGTATTTTAGAAGTGCAGTTTAGAAGCTGGAATATTTTAATGTGTAATATTTTAACTGGTCAAGAGAGCGATGGCTTGTGGGAAGAAGCTCCTTTGTAGCCTGGATGTCCTGATCCTCATCTGGCTGAAAAAAAAGGCTCTAAAAAAGAGACAGTGTTGTGTTGTAAAATGTTTTTGGCTCAGATGATACTAGGAAAATGCCCTGTTGTTGTGGAAGTATGTATATGTGTACATGTTGCACATTTTTTTTATTATTATTTTGTATTCTGTACCATTTTAAGTGATTTCAAGTTCGCTTTTTGAAACGGCCTGGCTTTCAGTTTCAGGTTTTTAGATCTCTCCCCATTCAAGTACCAAAGCCTGATCTTTTATTCCTGTAAATAACTGCCTGCAGTCATTACCAAGATTGCTGCTGAGTACTCGAGACTTGCCTATAAGCGCTATGTTAGTATAAAGGGAATGTAAGGTACAGTTATGTTTTGTTTGTTTCCTACAGAGGGAATTCCTCAGGTCTTTTACTTTGGGCCATGCGGGAAATACAATGCCATGGTTCTGGAGCTGCTGGGCCCCAGTCTGGAAGACCTGTTTGACCTCTGCGACCGCGCCTTCTCCCTCAAGACCGTCCTCATGATAGCCATACAGCTGGTGAGTCATGCTTCTGTTAGGAAGAGGAGTTGACCTATTCATGCTCTGCCCACAAGTGCATTCTTTTGTTGCAAGTGTTGCCTGGCTGAACAAGCTCTATGAAACGTTTGCAGAAATCTCTTTCAATCTAATGAGTTTAGAGTCACTACATGTTGTTGGGTTATCTAGCTGAGATGAAGATGATGATAGTTGATTGCAGGACAAAAAGAAACAATGTCTGAACTTCTCACACCATAAAACATACAAAGATTTGTAAATAAATCATACAAATGATACACAAACGTACGCATTTTGACAAGAACTCATTTGCACAGTATAATTCTTCTTTAGGGTTGTCATGTCAGATAACACATAATACTGTACAGGTGCTATACCTTGTATCTTGTCACTGTTGCTAAAACCCTGCAGGTGGATGAAGACCAAGTAATGTAGGCCAGATTGACCAGAAAAGGCATGAAGACATGTGTGCACTTCTCCAGAAAATCAGAGAGGAGAAGATTAGCTGGACTGGTGGACAGAGTCCATGTAACCTGCACACCTCTCAAATTCAGAGCATTCCAGTGAATGGGATGTTACAAAAACTAATACAAACTACCAAAACTGCCAAAGCTCTTAAAAAATAAGCTCAGTTAAGCTGGAGTAGGTTTCTTATTTACCAGCATCTTAATTGAATTTTCTCTTCCACCTTAAATGGAGCAGCAGTTATGTTGAAGCACCTTATATGTAGAATGGATTTCAAAAAAGAAGCTGGTGAATAAGAAGCCAAGATCATGTCAGAGAAAAAATTGTAGATATCCTGTTTAATTCAGTAAATCCATTCTTAAATAGGAAGTACCTTAGATTTTCGCTTGGAAATGTTCAGTGAGCAGGTAATGAGTGGCAGAGCAGAGCTATAATCAGCCACCAGAGCTGCTAAACCTTTAAACACGTCTCACTGGCTGGTCTAGGGCTGCGGCCCAAACACACCTTCTACACTAATGAGTGCACTTCTAATAGTACTGCATTGCTTCCTACATACTATTTAGCGTGCTAGTATGCAAGTTGGGACACAGAAGATGTAGCACAGTGGGGAAACTTTAGATTTTAGCTTTTGTTTGTTCTCACTACAGCAACACATCAAATAAAATAGTAGCTTAGCAAGCTGCAGCCTCATTCATCACAGCACAGGTTCTTACCAGCACGCTGAAGCTCTTTAGATAATAAACACTCAAATCTGAGGGAGCAAACATATATTTTTGTGTGTGGAGCCGTTATCTAAGCTACCTTTACTTGTTTATACTCTCCTTGTTAGAACTGTAAGCTAACTATAAGCTTAGTGAACAAGCTAAAACGGGTTCACACACCACATTACAGGTCCAGTTCTCTCTCTGATGCTTCATGGGTCATTCTACAGAGATGTCCATTTTTGTGTCCCTAGTGTTTACAGATATATTACACTTGAAAAACATGTTAGGGTTACAATTTATGTATATTTTAAAATAAAAAATACATTATTTTAACAATTACACCTTTTTGAGCCATCAATTTAGCAATATTGGTTTTTGGGTTAATGAGTTTTAAATCAATCATATAGAATTCCAAGCACCACAGAAGAGCTTGTCCTCAGTCATGTGTGAAGGCTGAGGCCATATTTTGAAGTAAACACGTTTTTTTGCAGTTTTTAACTACAGTAATCTATACATGACTATGAAATATATGATTTAAATGACAAAAAAAAACCAAATACTAAATAAATATATATAAAATATATAATGAACGTTGTGGTCCCCAGGAGTCATGTCACTGGTGTTACCATGTAACAAAAAATCTCTTATTTTGAAATAAAAAACACACTGATGACGTCACTTGACTTCCTTTTACCTATTTTCTGAGGATCTATGAAGAAAAGCACATGGTGAGTCCACTGTGTCTTTTCAGTCATCAGAAAGTTTCTCATTTAGCTCTTTTCACATGAAGCCATTAGTTGAAGTCACTGGTGTGACCTACTTTATTCTTAGGTAATTGTGAAAAAATAAAATATAATTGGATTAAATGACACATTTTAGTGTAGATTCCATGATTGACATGTGGTTTGATGCTCTGTAGCTGCCATTTTGTAAAATGTATTGTTCATTAAAATGTCTCTGATGTTACCTTTCTTATGTGTAACACCAATGAGGATCAGTAACACCAGTGACACCTATGGGATAGATAGAACAGTGGACGTTTCTGTAGAATGACCCTCATCACACGAGTTTAGAGGATATAGACTTAAATCTGAGGGAGAGAAGCTGTGTTTTTGTGTATGGAGCTGGTGTCTAAGCTACTCTTGTCCCACTACCACAGTAGCACCAGAGGCTAACATTAGCATTGTGAGCAGAGTAAAACAAATTCTCACACCACATAATATCCACAAGCTTAGAGGATAAAGACTCAAACTGAATGAGTGAAGTAGATTGACTGGAGTTGGTTAGGCAGAAAGACCTGCTCTGTAGTATTAATAGCCTGCTAAGCTACTGGTAGCAAAGTCAACTGTGCTGCCATTGTTGTTCAGTGTGTGGTTTAACATTTTGTGGGTGATAAATTGAAAATCTTGCTAGTATATTTTCTGATTATTAATGTTATATTGGGAGTCTGTTTCTGCTATGCGGCAACTGTTCAACTATAGAAGGCTGTATTTGCCATTTACCAAAAGTAAAAAGCACAGCGTGGTGAGAAGGGGTTTAGAAATTGGGGGCAACAGGAAATTTACAGTTTGCATAATTGTGCATATTCATTGTGCATATTTATAAATCTGCGCTCCTAATTAGGGGTTATAAAATAATAATTGCACCGTATTATTTAATGGTTTAAATGATTTAGTGTACTTTAAGACGAGTTAAAAATCCTGGCTTGAGTAAGAATTTTGTGACTGGTTGAATCACAAGTGCGTTTGGGGACAATTTTGGGGGCTGTTACCACATTGAAACTATCATGAAAGCATGTAGTTCTTGTGAATTTGTTTGCATTCTTCTTCACAGCAGGTAAACGAAGAAAACTGAGCTCCTTTATTTGAAAGGCTTCCAAAGTTAAAACAAGCACAGGAATTCTCCATATTTTACTCTTTTCTCTGTAAACTTTGTTCAGAATGGTTGTTTTGGTTTCTATTGTTTGTCCTCCAAAATCAAACTGGTGCTTTGCTCAGTTAATTTTGACGTCACATGAAAGCAATCCATTATATTGAATTTCAGACGCTGTTTAGAGTAGTATTCCCCCAGTCTTTGTATACACCCCATTGTTGTGTCTCACTAAGGCTGCAGTAAATAAATAGTCAAAGACCTAAATCGGTGTTCTGCACAGTCTCAGGTTGCCACAGCTTTTACACTCTTCTAAGAATTTTATGAATGGTTCGGTCACAGAAGTGCTTGGGAAAGATTCAACTCCCCTGCCAGTTATCAAACTGTTGTTGAGTGCGCTCAGGTTTGTTGAAGCAAGGAGGACTGGAGCTTAACTGAGATCCACCGTAACTGGTGTTAAAGAGGACTGATCTAAGTATTTTAAATGGGTTGATGATTGGGAGAGACATTGTTGTGGCATATTCTAAGATCTTATCCTCTTGTTTTTCCTGTTGCCCAGATAACACGGATGGAGTACGTTCACACCAGGAGCTTGATCTATCGAGACGTCAAGCCGGAGAACTTCCTGGTGGGCCGGCCGGGCAGTAAGAGGCAGCACACCATTCACATTATTGACTTCGGGCTTGCCAAAGAGTACATCGACCCAGAGACCAAAAAACACATCCCGTACCGGGAACACAAAAGCCTGACTGGCACGGCCCGCTACATGAGCATCAACACTCACCTGGGCAAAGGTGAGGACCTCTCTCACCTGACCTTTCTCTGTTTTATCTAAAGCCTCTATGTTCCTACCCTCCTGGGATCCTGCAATGGTGCCACATATTTATGCACATTAAGGCTGGACAGTAGGACGATGCAAATGGATATTGTTGATTTGACAAGCATCCCAGTAGACAACCCAGTGTTTGTTACTAGGCCTTTAAGACTGACACACTGGTCATTTCATTAAGTACACCTCCTTGTAGCTACACCCTCTGTCCATTGCATCAGCTTCATTTACCATATAGGTGCAATTTGTGGTTCTATAATTCTAGTCTGTAGTCCATCTGTTTCTCTACACACTTTTTAGCCCCCCTTTGCCTTGTTCTTCAATGGTCTGGACCACCACAGAGCAGGTATTATTTGGGTGGTGGGTCCTTAGCAGCACTGCAGTGACACTGATGTGATGGTGGTCTGTTAGTGTGTGTTGTGCTGGTCTGAGTGGATCAGACACAGCAGTGCTGCTGGAGTTTTTAAACACCTCAGTGTCACTGCTAGACTGAGAACCTAAAATATCCAGCCAACAGCGTCCTGTGGGCAGCGTCCTGTGACCACTGATGAAGGACTAGAGGATGACCAACACAAACTGTGCAGCAGCAGATGAGCTATCGTCTCTGACTTTACATCTACAAGGTGGACTGACAAGGTAGGAGTGTCTAATAGAATGGACAGTGAGTGGACACAGTGTTTAAAAACTCCAGCACCACTGCCCTGTCTGATCCACTTTCGCACACATACAAGCGCAGCAGACTCTAACCAGTCACAGCAGTGCTGAAAATGACCCACCACCCAAATAAAACCTGCTCTGTGGTGGTCTTCTGGGCGTCCTGACCATTATGCAGAAAATCAGATGGGCTACGGTCTGTAATTGTCAAATCATTTATTTCACAGAAATTTGATTTTATGTGATTATGGGCCCTTTAAATACATTCTATTCAGATACTTATGATGATCTTAATAAGCTGGTTCCAGTACTTTTTTGGAACTAAACTCAGATAGGAAGGTTAAGCAAACTCCTGGGACACATAAGACCAAGTTTGTCTATTGTTTGTAAAGCTAAAAGAATAATTTTTTGTTTGTTTGTTTTTTTTTCTTCACCCACAGAGCAAAGCAGGAGAGATGACCTAGAAGCGCTTGGACACATGTTCATGTACTTTCTGCGAGGCAGTCTGCCCTGGCAGGGCCTGAAGGTAAACACACTCTCATGCTCTTATCTGAGTGACCTCAGCCTTACGCACACATGAGGACACGCTTATATACGTACACTACTGTCCATGCCCTTGATAGGCTAAACAGTGCTTATCTCCTGACTCAGCTGACTCTGTGCTGCAGCTGCCTTGGCTCTACTCTGGGCACTAATCCTTCACATCTGGTATTGAGCATGTTAGCATTGCAGTGTTTCTTCTGCAGCGTTGAGATTGCATTGCAGTTTTTATTAATATATTTATTTAATTTAATGTACAGTGCATTGAGTAATATCATAATATTTACAGAACCTGATATTGCTTTTCAGTCTTAGCAGTATTTTCATAAAATAAGCCAACACGCCCTCTAGAACACACATCCGAACCTTTTAAAGCACAATTACTTTTTATTTGCTGAATATAACATATTAGGGAAAAAATAAACCATACATGGCCTGTCAAAGTTATAGCACGTTATATTTTATGCAAATTAAAAAACAAAGCAAATCATGAGATTGTGTTTTAAATTTGCAGGAGAATTTTCTCTTAGAAATAAACAGTTTTTTGTTACTAGGCCTTTAAGACTGATGCACTGGACGGTCACTTCATTAAGAACTTCTCTTATTTAAGTCTCTTGCCTGAAGATGTTACCTTTTTTCTTACCTAGAAAATCCAAAAAAACATGTAATTTGACCAGCATTATATTCACAATATGTCCATAAATTAGCAGAATATCTCAGGTGGTTTGTTTTTGTCTCTTTTAGTTCATTTTTCTGTGCTTGACCAATGGTGAACTGTATCTTTTCAAAGAACGTTAAATAATAGTTATTAATAATAAAACAATGATTATTTTATATTAAAGACAGCTTAGCTTGTGTAAGCTCTGCCTACTTTGCTCCGGTGCCACACTGACCTGATTATTAAAAAAATAATAATTATTACATTTTAGTGTAATTTTTTTTTTTTTTATAACTTGGTACAGGCCTATTTTTTATTACAGTTTATTCATCCATTATTAAGAGTGTTCTTACATCATCTGTATGGGTTTGGTGTGGATATAGCAAGCGCACCTTAACATGAACAAAGAATAATTGCTTTCCTTTCCAACTACTTTCTTTTGGAAGGTGCTACAGATCTTTAAAAACTACGACAGCTCAATTCAAGAATAGCTTTTTCTCTGTTATGAGAAGTTTCCTGAGTTGTGTCATAGTCTGTCTGTAGGATGTCCAGCATTTGTAAGAATGCATTGATGCCATTATTGTGTAATTTCCCATGCTTTGTTTATACATTATATTATATATTATATATTGTATTGTAAGCTGTTTATTTTATGCATGTGTGACATTGTTTGCTTGTGTATTGTGCTGCTGCAGAGTTGACTTGCATCTTGACGCACCCGTTAACAATTATTATCAAGATGTCATCTTGCAATAAAAGAAAAAAAATGTATATACGACGTGGGGAAATGAGAGCAGATTACTATCGGGATGCTACATTTGAAGTGTAAGAGTACCATGTCCTGATTGAACGATGATGATCCGATCACCACAATAATATTACAGTGATCAGATCTTGATTTTAGGTGTAAACAGGCCCAAATAGATACAGTCAATGGCTGTTTTTATAAATACATAAGTGGTCCACTGTTCCTTTTCTGTTTTAAATGCTTTTGGGCATTTAAAGTTGCGACACCAAGTAAAAGCGCCTTTGCAGCTATAGAGCACCTTTAGTGCATCAGCCACATGAGCTACTTTTCAAATTGGATCACAAGTCAGCAAGAATGAAGCAGCAGAAGAAACCAAAATCCTTGGTCCTGACTGTATAATCTAAAGGAGTAAATAAGCTTAGCTTGAGGCGTGATGTCAGCCTGGATTTAGGTTCCCTCATCTGCGTTGCGTGCGGGTTTTCCGAAAGCGCTCTGTGTAATGTGGGAATTTGTTCGGTGCTGTGTGGGAAGGAGATTATTTTTTTATTTATTTATTTTTTTCTATCCTGCAGGCAGACACGCTGAAGGAGCGCTATCAAAAGATCGGAGACACCAAGCGGGCGACGCCAATCGAAGTGCTCTGCGAAAGTTTCCCAGGTTGGTTCAAACCTGTCGTTGCAGTACTGTTTGGCTGCACTTCACTCTGTGTTATTAATTTATTTTTTACCTCAAGTTAAATTAAACGTAAATGCTCGCTGTCATTCAAGCACCCATTTGCTGACTAAGAGTAGATCTAATTTTTCAAATATCTGTATAATTCAACAGTTGAGATGTAAATAGTCATGCAGAGTGGTTTGGTGTGAAATGGTTCATTGTAGAAAAGACTGAAAAATGGTTTTAGACCAAAATCTGATTTGAAAACTATCATAAAATTGGGTCTCAGGCATCAGGCAGCATATTCATAACTATATCATTTAATAACTTTCTGTGAGGGAGCTTTCAGAGGCATTAAACTCTTCAGGCATCTGGTTCCCATTACTATCACTGTGGACAATTGTGACTTCTCTTAAACGGAGCATTTCACACCAAACCACCATAAACAACTCCGAATACATCTCAACCATTTAATTACTCAGACATTTTTTTAATTGGCAGAATTCCCCTTTAAAGCTATGAGGAAGTGTAATGTGTCTACTCTTAGACACCAAATATGATGCGAATAAACAACACAGAAATAACAGTCTGATGCCATTTTTTTGTATCAAAACTATACAGGCTGGATCTTTTTTTGGTGGTAAAAGGGGCTGAAATATCTATCAAACATTCTTTGCTTTTCACAAAACGGGTAACTTGGCGTTTTACAAAAAGGGAAAGGAGAAAGGAGAGGTTCTCCGACTCATTCAGGAGCCTAAGCTTTATAAACTCTTTCGCACACAGCTGGGATCTCTCTAACTCTGTTTGAGCTGCTTTTGGTGTTGCAGCTTCAGAAGAGATGAAGCACAAAACAAACGAGCAGAGAGCTTTCAAGTGACTTGCTCCTCACAGTACAGTCAAACGGTGACACTGAGAAGTTTTGGAAAAGTGAGAAGCTTCATTAGTTCATTCAGAAGTAAAAACATGGAAGGCTTTCACTTATAACTCAGGTGTTTGTTGCCGAGTTTGAGTTTCTTTGGAGATTCTAATCCTCATGACATTTGAGAAAAGGTTCTTGCTGCTGGTACACCGCCACTGCGTCTTGGTTATCGCCGTGCCAACGTCAGACCTGACTGTGATTTGGTTAGAGTTACATTATTGTTAGAATGATTCACATGAGTAAATCGTGTTCTGAGGTGTTGAATTCTAAGATGCTGGAAAAAGTCAGCATACATATTGAAGTCATTCTGAGTGGAATTATTTCTGCTTTGTTGAGGTCTTTAAAAAAGATGATTAACCTATGATTATATGATTAACCTAAACTGCCTCTCCTCCCTTCACGTAGAAGAGTTAGCGACATACCTGCGCTACGTCCGGAGATTGGACTTCTTCGAAAAGCCCGACTACGACTACTTGAGGAAGCTCTTCACTGACCTCTTCGACAGAAACGGCTACGTTTTTGATTACGAGTATGATTGGGTCGGCAAACCTCTTGTGAGTACAGGTTTTGCACTTTTTCTTTTTCTCTCTTTCCTTTATTTCTTTTTTTCTTTCTTTCTTTCTATTTCATTTTTTGACTTTGTTTCTTTTTTTCTGTTTATTTCTCTGGCTCTTTCTTTACTTCTTTTTTTTCTTATTTTACTTTTCATTTCTCTCTCACTCTTTATTCTTTCTTTAGTTTTTTTTCCGTTACATCTTCAGTACCCTATTTTCCTCATTTTATTTCTTTCTTCTCTCTTTATTTCTTTGTTTCTTTGTTTCTCTCTCTCTCTCTCTCTCTCTCTCTCTCTTCTCTCTCTCTCTCTCTCTCTCTCTCTCTCACTCTCTCACCCCACCACTTCCTCACCTCACAGAACTCTTCTGAATGACATCACAGAGAAAACGTTTCACTCTTCTTTTTATTGAGCCCTTTTCAATGTCCACTTTTCAGCATCCACCCCTATTTGCGGGTCAGAAGTGTGATTGTTTGTTTATCTCTGTTAGCCCACGCCCATCGGCCCCATCCCCAGCGATACACCCCAGCCCAGCAGCCGGGACAAAGCACAGCAGCAGACCAAAGCCCAGGTGAGCACCCCTCAAACCTAGCCTACTGAACAGCTGCCACACCTGAAGATTGACCCTACATACAGAGAGGGGGATGATGAGGATCAGTGGGCTTATAGTGACTCACTCAACCTTTCCCCTCAGACATGTGAACTTGAAAACTTACATGAACTGAGAGTCTAATTTTTATCACCGGCATCCAGTGACAGCAGCAGTGGTTAGATGTTCCAGCTTTTACATGATTGTAGTCTTTCGATCTCATACCACTGTTACATCTACACTCACATCTACATTACAGTGTACTTTGGTGATAAACCGGTTGACTGGTAACAGGAAATAGCTTTGGTTTCATCAAGAGAGACATCAGTGCAACTTGAACGGCATTTAAAAGCCGTATTTGAATGAGCCAGTCAAAGCAACACGTGAAAAAGTGAGCAGCTCCAGGTTGAAAATGCGGTTAGTTTGAACACTCACACTAGGAAAGTGTGTTAACAGCTTATAAGAAATTAGTGGCGTCAATAACTCACCATGTCAACGCCTTATTAATGTGTTAACTTTGACACAACTTGTATACAGTGCTCAAAAGTAGTCTTGAGGCACTCTAAATAAAATGTATATCTTTTTGTTTATTAAGTTCCAAGATAAATTAATCATTTATTCATTTATAATCATCAGAAAAGTGAACAACCAGCAGTAACAACTACATTTTCTAACTGAAATGCTACATCTGCTGGTAATGAATTAATTTCAGTGGAGAAAGTTGAACTCTTTCAGAATGTTAATGAGATTTAGAGATTTAGAGTCAGGTGTGTTGGATGGTACGTTGGAGATATTTGGGTTAAACATGTCTGCATTTGGATTAAAGTGCCACTGTTTGTTTTGCAGTAAAATGTGGGGGGTTTTAAAGTTTTCTAGCTTGCTATTACTCAGTTGGACCCAAATTATTGACTGATAAGTCATAATATTCATACATATGAATACAATAATGCACAATTTACTTCATATATATATATACAAATTAAATCAAGAAAAAAATCAATAAAAAAACTAATGATAGAAGTGCTCCAAAACTACTTTTGAGCACTGTACATGCACACTTCTTTCACGCCTTCTACAAAACACACACACACACACAAAGTGATCATTGGTATCACTTTCTGTGGTTATTTGAGCATGTTATGTTGCCACAATGAGCCTCATATCTTAAGGCTCATCAACTGTGGTCCTCTTACTTTAGCTACAAGCATCGTTACTGACAGCATTTAAAGTTCCATATTATTTGGCCAAATGCCATAAGAGCTTGAATAGAATAAATCCTGATGCAGGATTTAAAGCTGCTCTCCAAGTGATATCATTCTTGGTCAGGACTCAAGTGAATATTCTTGATGGTAAGTTCAAACAAAGAGGGAAAAGGTCTTTGTATGTACTTATTGCCAAAGTAGATTTCAAAGTAGCAACCCGACAGCACATGGAAACACTAAATAGCATGAGCTATTCTCGCACATTTCTGCATGATTGGTGGTAGTGTATGTATGTTTTTGTTTTTCTTTCCAATTTTAAGTAAAATTTTTCTTTTAACTTACTTCACACGATCAGTCTTGCTTCTGCATGTTAAATGTCGCCTTGTGTTTCTTGTTTTTTATTTGTTTTTTATTGTTTTTGTTTTTGTTTTTTTTACTCACTCATACCTCACACCCACCCCTTCACACCGCTCCTTTAACCTCCCCCTTCTACGGTGTGTGTGGCTGATTTGGTCACTCAGTCACCTGAGCCCAAACGGAGCGAGTCCCAGCCCACTCCCGTGACCAATAAGGAGACACTGGGGTCGCATCTCACAGCTGATAGGCTGGGTGGCTCTGTACAGGTACAGCTTGAGCATGGCGATGCATGACGGCTGTGTGGTTTTGTTAGGGCTGCACGATATATCGTTTGTTAATCATTATTGCAGTACTAGCCTTTGCAATACTGATGGTACAGAAGGCGTCCAGCCGTGCCCCCCCAACCATCACCAATTGCTGATACTATCAACAATTTGAGGTGCCTGGTGGCAGGCAAGTAGGAAAGGTACACTGTATGACGATGGCTAGTATGAGCATACCACCTGAGCTAAAATTTTGATTGAGAGCCTACTTTTAACCCTAATCCTAATTTCCAAAACATTCGATTTTCCAGCACCTTTGTGATTTGTCCTCACCAATCATAAGTCTGATGTGAGTTGTCCCGCGAACACATTAATAATAATAATAATAATAAGAAGAAGAAAAAAAATAATAATATAAATAATCTTTATTTATATAGCACTTTTCAAGCTGTTGGCAGCTCAAAGTGCTTTACAGACAGGTGATCAAGCTTAACAGTAATACAAGAAATTATGAATACTAATTTAAAATCATATTTAAAAAAATCATGAATATCAGGAGACGTAGAGCTTCAATCAAATGCTAATAGATACGTTTTTAGATGCTTCTTAAAAGTTATGCCTGTTTCACTCTTTTCTCCTGTTGTGTTTAGTTCTGCTTCAGTGCTGTAGCAGGCAGAGTGTTGGACTGAGAGCTGTCAATCACACAATCACATGGTGCTAATCACAATATTAGGATTATGCATATGAAGTTCTCACAAGTCTCACAAATGTTCAGAGGCATTGTTTTATTATATTTCTGTTTCTTTGTCATTCAGACTTTGCTGGATGTTTAATAACACTTCATTTTAGTATCATACAAACCTTTTAAAATTTTTTATAAAAGTCTATAATAATACTACTACTACTACTACTAATAATAATAATAATAATAATCTTTTTATGTAGCACATTTCTACGGAGCCCCGCTGGTGACATCCTGTATAAATAAAAATAATGCGTGGCCACGACTTAGTAAAGCGTGGGAACGAGATCACGGCTTACTAAGTCGTGGCCACGACTTAAGCATCTCATTCCCACACCTTACTAAGTCGTGGCCACGCGTTAGGATCTCGTTCCCACGCATTAATAAGGCATGGCCACGACTAATTTTTATTTATACAGGATGTCACCAGCGGGGCTCCGTACATTTCAAGCTGTTGGCAGCTCAAAGTGTTTTACAGACAGGTGATAAAGCTTAACAGTAATACAAGAAATTATGCGTACAAATTTAAAATAAAATAATAAATATCAGGAGACTTGGAGTTTCAATTAAATGCTAAGTTAAAGAGATGTTTTAGATGCTTCTTAAAAGTGTAAACTGAACTTGACTGTCTAATAACGGGTGAATTGAGATTCACAGTTTAGAATCAGAATAACAGAAAAGAGTCTCCACGTTTTCTGTATTTTACAGAAGGTGTTTGCAGAAGGTCAGTATTTGCAGATCTAAGATCACATGCTGGAACATAGACAGACGTTGTGATGTAAGCGGTGGCTTTAGGTCATTAAGAGCCTTAAAAATAGTAGCACAACTTTAAAATATATCCTGTAAGATACAGGTAGCCAGTGCAATGTATTGTTTTCTTAAGAAGCCCGGTAAAAAGAGCATTACAGTGATCAATTCTGCTTGTAACAGAAGCAGGAGCAAATTTCTCTGGGTTTTTGTCTCAAGGATCACTATAAGTGTTTTTGTGATTTAGTTGTAGAAAGTTTGCGACATTCACTCAGAGGTATCTGACACAGCTGATAATCCTGTCTACAGGCTCTTGTTGATCATAAAGAATGGAAATTTATTATTGTGTGTCGACAGCATAGCAATGGAAATTGACATTGTTTCCTAATGACATCACCTAGAAGTAACATGTAGAAAGAGAAAAGGCCCTAAAACTGAACCTTGTGGGTCTCCACAGGAAATGTTACATTTTTTGATGAATTATTTCCCAGTGAAACCATGAACGGCTTCACCAAGGCAGTTTTAAAAGCGTCTAGAAAAGCACCTGTTGATAGAGAACAATTTACAATAGTTTAAACTTAACTTTAAACATAATTAAAAACTATCTTTAGAAAAAGGGTAGGGACAGGATCAAGGTCACATGTAGATAAACTTAATTTGTTTATAACAGTTGTAAACTCCTGTTAAATGATAGCAGAGAAAGATGTCATTGCTGATGTAGGTGGTTTATCAGGAAGGTTATAAGAGCTTGTTTCAGTCGGCTGAGCTGTGCTCTGTCTTATCAAGTCTATTTTATTTTGAAAATGACTTGCAATTTTGAATATGCATGTTCCACCTTGTTCTCTTGATCAACTGGCCACGCCAGCATTCCCTGGATGCACATCTAGCAGTAAAGTGAATAAGAACCTTACCTTCTTTAGGACATTGCTGTAAAAAGCCAGATAATATTTTTAGTGAGCTTTAAGCTTGTTTCACTCTTCTCCTTTCTTACGCTGTTGTGTTTAGTTCTGCTTCAGTGGTGTAGCAGGTGGAGAGTGTTGGACTGAGAGCTGTCAATCACGCAATCACACGGCGCTAATCACAATATTAGGATTACGTATATAAAGTTCTCAAGTCTCACAAATGTTCTAAAGTATTGTTTAATTATTTCTGTTTCTTTTTCATTCAGACTTTGCTGGATGTTTAATATAACAAACCTTCATACAAACCTTTTTTTTTAATTTTAAAAAGCCTATAAATCATAACAAAAAGTCTAAGGTTTGTCCTATTAAGTCAGCTTATTAGCTACTATTATTGTAACCCATTATTGTTATTTGGCTTCATAACAATAATATTCTGCAGTCTATATTAAATTGTCTTGTTTTTAACAACTCTGGTTTAACCACAATAAGTCCAAATGAATTAAGCCCATGCTCATATTTCGCAAGTATGACCGTGGTTTAAAAAAACAAAAACCAAAACACTGCTTAGCACTGCGATAGAACGTTCTGAAATCAGTCAACACAGGACCCATATGGCATATGGACTACTCATTGAAAGTGAATACAGATCAGGAAGCAGTTGATTGATTATATGTTAAAGATGCAGCCGGTGCATTTTGCTGCTTTTAAGTGGATGGCCATTGTGATAGCATCCTGAACCTGATGATCCTGAATCATCAGTCGGCTAAAAACTACTGCACTACACAAGTTTGTAGATCTGACAACAGTTTTTCCACAAAACATGCTGTGAACACCTTGACCAACCTCCGATTGTTGATTAGGGGTTGATGCATTAAAAAAATCACCATACCTGAAGATGATTTCACAATACACAGTAATCGTTGGACAGATAAATAGAAGCGACTAAAACCTTATTTTGATTAAATATGCAGTTGTTTACTAGTCTTGTTATGACAGTGAACATGGTATACTCAGAAAAGTGTATTGTGAAGCAATTTATTATGATAATGATGTCATATTGCCCCCCCCATCTGTGGTTCACCTTTAAGTGATCCAGGAAACATTAAGATAACCTGATAAATAATTCTGGTCACCATAAGGGTCCATTAGTGTGCCTTTAATGTAATGCAAGACATATCACATTCACAATAAGTAACAAAGGAATATTGTGCAGCCCTATTGTGTGTTTGTGTGACTGTGTCTTCTTGCTTCTTGTCTGCTTGCACACTAACTCACCTGCAGCTCTCTGCTCAGCTGCTAACAGCTTCTAATGCGCTGCAGGGCGTGTCAGGAAACATACTCAGTTATGGAAACATGTCCTTATCCTTTAGTGTTGGTGTGGCATTTCTTCCAAACAGACTGTAGCATGATGGGGTAGGATAGTTAAATGAGGACTTTCTCTTCATGATCTCTAATTTCCATTTTCTCTTTTTGTGTTATTACTTAAGACATTGTTAGATGGGTTTTGTGAAGTCTTCTGCCATCTAGTGTCAGTCTCTATCACTGCAACTCATGTTTAAAATACGTTTTTAGTGTCTAGCCAACATGATACAGTGGTTACTCTATTCTCACAGCAGCAGTCTTTAGGATCTTATTAAACAGTACATTGTACTCTTATATTAGCTTATACATATAGATGTCACCAGGTGAACCTGGTACATGCTGGTGTGGACATTTTTTGAATGTTTTGCCTGATCTGTATCATTCCTAAAATCAACTGGTGTTTTCCCGATGCTTGTTTGGCTCCATACTGACTGTGTATGTAACTGTGCAGGTAATGAGCTCGACCAATGGAGAGCTGAACACAGATGACCCGACAGCCGGACACTCCAATGCTCCAATCACAGCCGCCACCGAGGTGGAGGTGGCAGATGACACAAAGTAAGGCAGCACCCCCTGCTGGAACTGATCAGAAGGAGCCATTTGCTCCAATAATAATAATAATAATAATAATAATAATAATAATAATAATGGATTTTTATATTGAGCTCCTCCTCAAGACACATTACAATGTTGCACAAAGTGAATAAGCTAAAAAGCACACCTAGAGACAAAAATAAAACGGGTAAAGTGACAAGAGGGAGGAAAACAGTACACGACAGAAGAAAAATAACACGCATGATCCAGTCCTGGGTACGTTGTAGGCTTGGGTTTTGAGATGAGATTTTAATATGGACATTGTATTATATTGTGGAGGAAAGAAGTTCCAGATATGTGGGACAGTTCTAGAGAATGGTCGTTTACCAACTCTATAGAAGTGGGCTTAAAAGTGGTAAGTAGTTCAGGATGACCTTAAGTAACAGGAGGGTTTGTAAGGCAGAAGAAGAGGCAGTGTTGCTATGAGGTGTATATATATATTTATAAATATTATTCTGCTCCTGGGGTCCCATAGCACTGCACAGTTTCAACTATTCCTTGCTCCAACACATCTGATTCAACCCTGATTATGAAACCCTTCTTGAGCTGGGCATAATTGACACTGTGGGGAAAAGCCCCCAGGGTTAAGAAATGCTGTGATAGACTACATCAACCCTGAGGGCATTTTGAGTCTTGGCCCCTTCAGGGTTGCTTCTCCATGCCTGCTGATACTGTTGATGTCTTGCTTATTGAAAGTTTGGGTGTTGATTTCTGGAACAATGTCCGAATCAATTATTTTTATTTGAACTCTGGATATTGTGACCAACCTCTCATGTGCAACATTCATAAATGTTTAGACATTGTTTACACTGTTGTAAACTGCTGTTTCCCAATCTTGGTCCTGAAGTAATCCTGCCCTGCACAATTTCCCTGCTCTGCTTTTGCTGCTGTAACACCATGGAGGTGTAGTGTAGGGCTCACAGAGAGTCTGTAGTATTAGCACCATTACTTTCAGTGAGATTTTCTTAGCGACACATGTCCCCTGAGGAATAACGCTCATGAGGACCCTGTTCCAACACCAAAATTTGAGCTAGGGACAGTGAACATAACTGACATCGCTAAGAATGCAAAAATCGACTTGCTAAGGTCAACCTGAAATCGGAATAGACATTTTATTTTATTTTTTCTAAAACGTCTTTTGGTTTCTTTCTGGTTATGTCAATGTGCACCAGCGCATTCTGCTCAGAAATATCATGATATGGAAGGAAAATGTGTTGTGATAGCAGTCTGTTGGCATCATCTTTGACAACAGCCAAGCTTGGGCAGGAGAACTACAATCTATGTCAAGGCCAAGGAAAAACCAGCTTTTTTGAGGTTTATCTGCCCTCCATAACCATCACCTGCAAAAATAAATATAAAAGAGTATATAATGAAGAAATTAAAACATAATTAGTATAATAAATCAAAGAAATAGAGACTGAAATGTCTTTAATGTCAGAAAAAGAAGGTAATTGTAAATGAAAGTCATGCTTCTTGGCACAAGATGAGTTTTGTATTGTTTGGCGACTTCAGCTCAGGAAAGGCTTGTTAATCAGCTGATTAGCTTTATCAGGTGTTTTGGGCCAGGTGAAATAGTAAAATATGCAGAGCAGGAGTGTTCCAGGACCAGAACTGAGAAATGCTAGTTTACTCTAATGATTCTGGGTCAGCACATCATACGGTTATGCAGGCCCAGATCCTGAGAAATTCCTATAAAGTAGGTTTTGACCCATAATTGCTAAACATTTAGTGTGTGTGCGTAATTGAAAGAGAGAGTTCTTTTAATGATGTGTGTGTTCTGCCTTTTTCTTCAGGTGCTGCTGTTTCTTCAAACGGAGAAAGAGGAAAGCTCTCCAGAGACACAAGTGAAGAGCGCTCACTGAAGAGAACTTGAAACATTCTGATCACTGTCGAGTTTTAAATGGAAGCAATTACACTGCTCACTCATCCTTTCTCTTCTCTTCTCTTCTCTTCTCTTCTCTTCTCTTGTTTCATCTTCTCTTCTCTTCTCTTCTCTTCTCTTCTCTTCTCCCCACATCCTGTCACTCGAAGTCCTGCACCAACGCTCCTGTTCTGTTGGAGTGATAAAGGAATGTTGTTGACTTCACAACAGACTCTCTTCCTTTAAAATAAGAAAATAAACATAAGAAAATGGTGTAAAGAAAAAAGCTCTCACATAGGAGGATGATGGAGAACTCTGTATAAAAACAATAATGATAAATGAACACTGTGACGTGAATTTGAAAACAAAAAAAGCTGTTTGAAACAGTTGTTGTATTCTAGATTCCATGCAGAACATTTTGTTGTTCATGCCGTTGATGCGAGGACGATACGATGATGGATTGGATGATTCGAGTTTTCCTTAGCTATAGTTCTTATTTGTTTCAAATCGAAAGGCAAGAACTGCAAAGCAAGAAAGCAAAAAGATGTTTCATCTCAAGCAAGCATGGAAGATTTTTTTCTCTTCTTTTTGTTATTGGTAATGAAATTTTTGGTTGTTTTCAGGACTGAATACCTGGATTGAAAGCAAACCTTTACATTTTATGTTGTAGTGACCTGGAATTCTTTTTGTTTGTTTGTTTTTTTTTCTTTTTTTTTAATTTCTCTCTCTTTTGTTTGTTTTTTTTGTTTGTTTGTTTTTGTTGTTCTGTTGACGTGGGCTCTGTAGCACAGTGACTGGTCTCAGGTACTGTGGACGATGGAGAGACAAACAGATACTAAGCTCTCTGCTTATTATTGCACTTTTGGGGGGCAAAAAGAAGACAAAAACAAGTAGAAAATGAAAAAAATAAATAAATAAAGGCTGCCCTAGAATAACTCCCATGCAAACGTGAGATCTGTACAAGGGCCGAAATTTAAAGGCAAGAAGAAAAAGAAAAAAGTCCTCCTCTTTTATGTTTCACATCAGAATTATTTACCAGGAAATCATAGTTTGTGCCTTTCCAAGTAAAATGTTTAAAGTTAAAGCAAATGTGTCCTGCAGTGGAGTTTTATCTGAACGACGGATGTGTTTTGATGTGTTAAGCTTTAGTGCATGCCTCTCTCTACCTCTACCACTTTCTCCCCAGCTTAAAAAGTGATAGATCAACAAAAAACCCCAATTCACACAATCTCCCCCACATGAACACTGTATAACTTAAACAGTACTAGCAGCTATTTTGAAGTCTGACTTTCGGGGCATTCATGGGCTGGAGGTTGAGGAACCAGCCCTGTGACCAGAAGGTTGCCAGTTCGATCCCCTGAGCTGACAGTATGTGACTGAAGTGCCCTTGATCAAGACACCTAACCCCCAACTGCTCCCCGGATGCCGTGGCTAGGGCAGCCCACCACTCCGGGCAAGTGTGCTCACTGCCCCCTAGTGTGTGTGTGTGCGTTCACTAGTGTGTATGTGGTGTTTTACTGCATGAATGGGTAAAATGCGGAGGTGAAAGTTCCCCATTGTGGGATTAATTAGAATCACTTAATCTTTTGACCATGTTTAATGGTTTAATGGTAACTGTTGTCCGCTGTCAGAAACAACATAAGCCTATTAACGATGACTGAACAACTCTGCAGTTTGAAGTTTGCAATGATTCAAGCATGCAGTTAGCGCAGTGCTAATTGGTGGGGTCCTAGTCTCACAAGGCCTGGTGTGATCTTATAATGAGAACATCTGGTCCCATAAGACTAGTAACCCACCAGTTAGCATCATGCTAACACTTAGCCCAAAGGTACTTCACCAGTTAGCATCGTGCTAACACCTGCCCCAAATGTATACACTGTGTAACTACAAACGGCAGTAGCTGATGGTGGGAGGTTTGGAAAAAATAAACATAAGGAAATTTTCATGATACACAATTTTTACATTTTTCTGACATCTCGTATGTTGGAACATGCAAGAAAGAGCCAGTAGTGCCTCATTTTAAACATTTCTTTACATTTTTGGTGAAACATACAGTTGCTCATCGTTCTTTCAGTGCTGACGATATACGCAGAAGCATGCTGTGATGTAGTTTATCACAATAATGATAACATTTGTCATAATTTTCACACCATACAGCTATAATAAGTGTATGGTATGGTACATACATATGTATGTATGATATATGTATGTATGTATGTATGATATATGCATAGACACACAGGGTTTTCTACCTCTTTATTCAAAGTATTTTTTTCTATGATTGGATGAGGTGGAAACGTTGGTTTATGAAGGAGAAATGCTACAAACAGTGATGGAAACTATTTTTTCTGTCAGTGTTGATGTAGCGTGAACAGAAGTCATGTGTCTGGCATTGCATCCTCAGAAGCCAGTCACATCATTAAAATGTGTAAAAATATTTGAATGGAAACCCCACAAAGAATCACAAGCTGTTGTGAGATATGTATAGATACATGTATGTATTTATGTATGTATGTATACACCGATCAGGCATAACATTATGACCACCTCCTTGTTTCTACACTCATTGTCCATTTTATCAGCTCCACTTTCTATATAGGTGCACTTTGTAGTTCTACAGTTACAGACTGTAGTCCATCTGTTTCTCTGCACACTTTGTTAGCCCCCTTTTACCCTGTTCTTCAGTGGTCAGGACCCCCATGGATCCTCACAGTGCAGGTACTATTTGTGTGGTGGATCATTCTCAGCACTGCAGTAACACTGATGCGGTGGTGGTGTGTTAGTGTGTGTTGTGCTGGTCTGTGTGGATCAGACACAGCAGTGCTGCTGGAGTTTTTAAACACCTCAGTGTCACTGCTGGACTGAGTATAGTCCACCAACCAAAAATATCCAGCCAACAGCGTCCTGTGGGCAGCGTCCTGTGACCACTGATGAAGGACTAGAGGATGACCAACACAAACTGTGCAGCAGCAGACGAGCTATCGTGTCTGACTTTACATCTACAAGGTGGACTGACAAGGTAGGAGTGTCTAATTGAGTGGACACTGTTTAAAAACTCCAGCAGCACTGCTGTGTCTGATCCACTTGTACCAGCACCACATCAGTGTTACTGCAGTGCTGAGGATGATCCACCACCCAAATAGTACCTGCTTTGTGGTAGTCCCTTGGGGGTCCTGACCATTGAAGAGAAGGATACAAAGGGGATAGCAAAGCATGCACAGTAAAAGATAGACTACAGTCTGTCAAATTGTCAGAGAGTGTAGGTAAAAGGTAAGTGTATCTACTAAAGTGTGTTTCTCTACACACTAACTGAGTACTTTATTAGGAACACTGCTCACACTGGGCAGGGCCTCTCTTTGCTTTTAAAGCAGTTTTAAGTCTGCGTGGCATGGATTCCACAAGGTGGAGACATTCTTTGAGATTCTGGTCCATGTTGACATGATTTCATCATGCAGTTCCTGCAGATTTTAAGAGGCACTTTCAACACTTTCAAGCTGCGAATTTCCTGTTCTGTCACATCTTAAAGGGATTGGGTTCAGATCTGGTGACTTGGAAAACCACTGAAAAACACTGAACTCATTGCCCTGTTCAGGAAACCAGTTTCCTTTGCAACATGGTGCATTATCATGCTGGAAGTAGCCATTAGAAGATGGTAAATTGTGGCCATGAAGAGATGCACATGGTCAGCAACAATACTCAAATGGGCTGTGGCATTCAAGGAATAATTGACAGGTATTAATGTGCCCGAAATGTGCCAAAAAACATTTCCCACACCATTACACCACCTCCATCAGCCTGGACTGTTGACACAAGGCAGGTTGGGTCCATGGATTCATGCCGTTGGTTCCAAATTCTGAACCCCATCGTCTGTGTACCTCAGCAGAAATCGACATTCGTCAGACCAGGTTACCATTTTTTTTCCAGTCTTCAACTGTCCAGTTTTGGTTAGCCTGTGTCCACTGCAGCCTCAGCTTTCTGTTTTAGGCTGCCAGACGTTGTCTTCTGCTTTTGTAGCCCATGTTGTCCATTCTGAGCTGCTTTTCTGCTCAACACAGTGTACAGAGTGGTTATCTGAGTTACTGTAGCCTGTCTGCCAGTTGTTGTAGCTGTCATTTTCTGTTGACCTCTCTCATCAACAGAGTGCTACCATTTGCAGAACTGCCGCTCAATGGATGTTTTTTCTTTATCGCACCATTCTGAGTAACTCTAGAGACGCTGTGTGTAAAAATCCCAGGAGATCAGCTGTCAGAAATACTTAAACCAGCCCGTCTGCCACCAACAATCATGCCACAGTCAAGATCACTGAGATCGCATTTTTTCTCCATTCTGATGGTCACTGTAAACGTTACCAGAAACTGCTGGCCCATTTCTGCATGATTTTATGCACTGCACTGCTGCATCACGATTGGCTGATTAGATAATTGCATGAATACGTAGGTGTGCAGGTGTTCCTAATAAAGTGCTCAGTGACCGTATATTCGTAAAGGGCGAATATAGAACCTTTTTGGAAAACGATTCTATATAGCACCAAAACATGTTCTTCTATTGTTACAATCTTGACAGTGTAACAACAGAAGAACCCTTTTTTGGTGCTACATAGAACCTTTTCCAAAAAGGTTCTATATAGAACCATCTACAACACATTCTTTACCAATCTGAAGAGCCATTTCACCACGCAAAGAACCATTTAAGCATGCCCAACTTCTAATACTACATAGAGCCATTGCCTTTACTAAAGACGCCCTGAAGAACCATCTTTTTTAAGTGTAATGCAAAGAAAACAAAACACCTGAAATACTTAACTCTGTTAAGAAGCAGGCCTGTCCTCTGCTGCCCAGCCTCAGGAGTTGTAATGTGAGGTGCATCTCTAGTTGCCTCAGCCCTGAGCAGAAGATGTTCAGAACAGTAAAAAGCCAAAAAGATTGTACTGAACCTTTACATATTACTTGCAGGCCTCTGTCTGTGGCTGGGCTGAGGCAGCTGCAGAACTTCTACCTGCTTCAGAATTAATGTTTATTTTTATTTTTAACTTTTTCTTAAAGCCAGCTTTTTATCCTGGCTAAACATTAGTATGATTTTGTGTTTTTAAGTTTTATAAAAGGCCATTCCACCATTTTTTTTCATAATTTCTGCATAATTAAAAGGTTAAGATGTAAACCAAAACATTCTGAGTGGCTTGATGTGAAATGTGAAATTGTTTGCAGTGGTAAGAAGGGCCTGGATTCGGTTCCCTGGCTGGGCAACCAGGGTTCTTTCTGTGTGGAGTTTGCATGTTCTCCCCATGTCTGTGTGTGTTTCCACCCACAGTCCAAAGACATACAGTCAGGCCAATTGGACATGCTAAATTGCCCCTAGGTGTGACTGTGTGTGTGGATGTACATGTATGTCTGTCTTGCGATGGACTGGCAACCTGTCCGGCCTTCCGCCCAATGACCAGTGGGATAGGTTTCAGCACCCACCGTGACCAAAAAGGAAAAGCAGTTTAGAAAATGTGTGTATGTGTGTGTGTTCACAGTGGTGGTTATAGGAAGCAGACGTCTAAAGAGTTCATCAACGTTCATCCCTCTGGGTCGTGGGGGGCGGAGCCTATCCCAGCGGTCATTGGGCGGAAGGCAGGAAACACCCTGGACAGGTCGTCAATCCATCGCAGGGCAGACAGACAGACATATGCAGTCACACACACATTCACACGTAGGAGCGATTTAGCATGTCTTTGGACTGTGGGAGGAAACCCACGTAGATACAGGGAGAACCCTGGTCACCCGGCTGGGAATCGAACCCAGGCCCTTTTTGCTGTGAGGCGACGTGCTGCCGTCTAAAGAGTTCAATGCCTCCAAAGGCTCTATCAGAGTACACAACATGGCTGATGCCAGAGACATTGCTGTAAGACAGTTTTGAGATGGCCTGAAACAATTTTTGAAACACATTCAGGGTGGAGAGGCACATGCAGCGTGTTCTGAGACAAACCACCCCTTTTTTTAGATTAATCACCTAAATAACCATCATCAACAATACATATTAAAGCTCAGGAGACGTGTGGGTCCTCTGGTACTTTTGGATAGTAACTAAAACGGCTAATTTGTGTTGCA